CCTTACTTGTCCTCATACCTTTCACTTAGACAGTCCGGTCACAGGCTACGCTCTCAGGACTTGCTCTCCTTCAGTGTTCCATTAGTACGGTCAGAACTTGGAAAAGAGGCATTCTCTTACTCTGCTCCGTCAACGTGGAACGCTCTACAGCAGGATCTGAGATTACGTACTTTGATTCCCTTGGGACAATTCAAATTTCTTCTGAGACAAAAAGAGACATCTTCTTGTGAAATGTGCTCTTGTTTTTAGCCTGTTTTATTAGCTTATTTATTTGTGTCCGAATTTTTTTTTTTGTAACTACTTGTGTGTTTTGTAATTCTTGTCTTATAGCAGGTCTCTCTTGGAAATGAGGTTCTGGGTCTCAATGAGACTACCTGTATAAATAAAGGTGAAATGAAAACAAATGTGTCTAAATGGAATATTATATATTTTAAAAAGACTTGATTACAGAACAGAAAAATGGTTTTCTATCTTTTTTGTACAGTTTCTGCCAGACAGTAAAACTATAGAACCAAAACAAACATTCATCAACCTGTGTGTGAAAATAGGCTAATTTGAGTTTGCTGAATCTTGCATAATTTTGACATTATTATCAATAGTATTACAGTTCTACACTGTCTGAGCTTTTATAATTTAATTCCAAATATCCATCATAATAGCTTGTTTTAACTCTTATTTACTTGTGTTATGAACAGTACAAAGCTGAAGACGCTTTCAGATGCTTCTCTGAAGAATAAGACAAAGTCGTATCACATGCAGACAAACTTGTACATTAATGTATTATTAAAATAGACAAGGCAAACACTGCACGACTTGTTTTAAAAAGAACCCTCTGTTAGCGGAGTTAGAGTAAACATTTGAGCAGCTGCTTTAGAAGTTAGTTGCTACCCGATAATTAGCTGTTTGACTTACCTCACTGCGCCGAGAGGAGAGAAAAACAGGAAACAGATCAAATCAATCTGTCGAGAATCCAGTYGAACAGTTGATCAGTGCCTATACTAACTGTAGTCTGCCTGTGCAGCACTGAGTGAGGCCTATAGCAGAGACAGATACRAGTCTAAAGTGGAACCAAACTGTGAGCAGGCTGTCTTTCTGCCACAGCAGCTCCAGACAATAGACAGCTCCTGTTTAGACTGCACCAAGGCCATTCATGCATGTAAGACGAGCTAATAGGCCGCACATTATATGTCACTGAACCTAGCTTGAAATGTACAATAATGTGTTTTTCTGTAGAATTTCTGGTTTGAACAGCGTGTATGTGTGCTCTGTAGTCACCTGCATGTCCAGCTCTTGACAGCGTTGGGCTAATGCCTCCTTTACCGACTGAAGTTCAGAAAGATCCTCAAACGCTTTTCTGAGCTGGACGTATGAAAAAGAAGCTGAATTACCAACACATAATAAATACAGTGTAACATAACAAAAAGCATTATTTGTTATAGTCCATCCATTGATATATMTCACTGGATTGGGCRTCACGTGACCTGGGCATGGCTTCACGAGGGGGATTTTTATGCATTGAGCTAATGCTAACGCTAACCATTGAAATCAATGAGCAGAACGTAGCGCGGTGCAAACAAACTCTATAAATGTACAAATGGTWCAAATACTTTGCTATAAACTGCAGAAATTGTTACAACATATTTACAAGAGATAAAAGGGTTTGTTTCACAGGTAAATATTACGCATATGTAGGGGTCACCTCAAGCGAAGAAACAAGATTTACTGCCTCGAAGCAGGCCTTGGACAGGCCTGACGAGAGTACCAAAATTAACCAAAATTAATTATTTTAATTGTAAAACCTGTACGCTAACATTAAACAGCTTCAATGTTCATGTTTAACCTTATTTAAAATWRATTTTATCTGTTGTCAAATATATTATTTACTGATATTAAACATGTAAATGTGGACTTTATTGGATTGTTGACTAGTTAGACTGCATATAAATTCAGAAATGATCATGTAGACTCACTAATAACAGACACTAATGTAAAGAT